TATATTACGTGTTCTAAACGGTACATAACAATATACATGCACGTAGTAAAAATCACTGCTTGATAGGTATCCACTTATTATCATTACTAATCAGCTTTTTACACTTAGTATTTTATGTAGCCTAAATGGAAAATTTAATGTTATTACCTAAGCAAATATTTGTAAGCTTATAGTACGTATTATTTCTATGAAAAAACGTGAAATCAAAATTGTGTCGTATAATACACATTTTATTCAAAAAACAGCTTTTCTTACACCTATAGATACACATATTGTAAACTACGCATTATTTATTGATTGATTTCTTTTTTAAATTTATTCGCTAATACAGAAATACTACAGTTCTTAGAGCAAAAAAAGAATCATTGATTGTTTTACGGACACCTACGTGTATGTAGAAGTTTCATTTATAAGAAGTTTGATTCTGAAAACTATATTCCAAGAAGGTGTAGATTTTGGGTGACTAACTTTCGGAAGCTTGTCGAACCATCCCTGCTACTGGCTCGGTATCCCTAACCTTATCGTAGCTTTGTTTTTGTAGCTATGAGTACCACCATTATAATTGAAATTTCAACTACAACGTTACGACATCAATACTATTCGTCACCTAAAAATTCGCTGCCGTGCGGGCCCATCACGGGGCGCCGGACCTTAGTCGTCACTTGTGCAATTCAGCTGTAATATTTTCTGTATGTCATTTGGAATTTTATAATAAATTTTCATGCACGAGTAGTAAGACCTTTTGCGTGTCATGTAAGTACTTGCTATTATTCTTAAGCAAAGTCAGTACCTATATGTATGAGTTGCGCAAATAGCTCAAATATTATTTGTACAAAATATATATAACGACAATATAGCCGGGCAGCTAACAGATTTTAAAAGCTTCGTCTTATCGTATCGATGGCATTATAATGCTTGTCAACGTGGTGAAAAGATTTGCCAATCGGCGTATCGTCACAAATTACTTAATAATCACTACGTAATAGATACACCACTCTCATTCAAAATCGAAAATACCTACGCTATAATAGCCCATTACAAGGAAAAAGGAACCTAAGCACGCGCTTAAGGTGAAAATAATTAGAGCGGAGCCGAATGCTGGAGTTGTACAAGGATTGTAATGTAAATGAAAGATTTGTCTGAGCGCTTGCACTGTCGACGATACACTCAGCGGTAGGCATTTATCGCGTAACTTCGAGCGAGTGAGTGAGCCCTGGTATGGTGTTCGTGCTCGCCGATTGTTGCCCTGGGTGTACTGGACTGGTACATAGTCCGGGGAGGCTTCTTTCGAGAATTTGAAAGGCTAAAAGTTAATTTTATTATTTCAGATGATTTCTACGAAGAATTACCCTTAGCTCAAGGTCGATCGGTGATTCGTTACAAAAATTACACATTCTCGTTTCATCAGAAAGGAAAATCATTGCTACAGTGTTCGCAAAAAACAAGCGCAAGATGTGGCGCAAAGTTGAAAATGGATAGAAATGGAAAAATTGTATTTGTGAGCGGTACCCATAATCACTCACCAGCACATTATATAAGGGCACCCAATGGATATTATGTAAGAATAGCTTCGATTTATAAACACTCATAGCGTAGTTGGGAGAAGGCTTGCCTTCTAAGCAGTTCAGAATTCCATTCCCCGTGAGGCAAAGTAGTAAGTAATTAATGAGACCTGATACTTTACAAAAAATATTTTTTTTACGATTTCTTTCTATGTGATACTTATTACACATGATCCTTAGGCTTGAAACTATATCTATATCATTATAAATTGTATATGTATATGTCATTATCTTATAAGAAAATCGTATGTATCGATATTACCCTTTATCTTGTTGACAGTAATACTTTTGAAAAACTGTGAATGCAGTTAGTTGTAAGTGACTTCCGAAAGTCCAAGGGACTGTCTTTTAAGAAGACTCATCTGCTTATAACAACGGTTCAGTTGGCTGTCTGTCTTTACTGTCCGTCGGAAATCTCCATATATATGAAACAAAGCCGCCTGAAACGAATTTATGTTAAATTGTCCCTTGTATATTTAAAACACAGTTTATAAAAAAAATATATTTTGTATGTAATAATCAATACTTTTCTTCTACACAAAGTTCGTAGCTTGTTAAGTTAAAACTCATTTTCTGATAGTCCTTAAATTCAGAATAATAATATTATATTATAATGATAGATTAAGAGTACATGTGGCGCCATCTATAGACTACTTACCGTACCTAATCTCAATTATACCTATAATTTATGACGTATGAGCTTTTCTGTGTGAGTGGAAGAAATGTGGTCTGTGCTTTATATGTATATAATGTATTAAGAGAGTATATACAAAAAAATTTAGTCAACAAAATATACTTTGATCTAATTCCACAATATGAAACTTGAAATTTTAACTGCTTAAAAATTAGTTTCAGATATATAATATGTATAAATAACGGAACAAAATTACCTTATTAAAAAATGTGTTTAACACACACCAAATTGATAACAAAAATGTTACTAGCTATGCTCAATTTATTTTTAATATTGCAAGTGATATATGTATATAGCGTTTAGTAGAAATTTTGCAAAAAGAGTCCATTTTTATAATTCTTTTTATTTAATTTAATTTTTCAGGATTACGCCAACCGTGTCACAACTTTAAGTTAATCTTATGTTATAATACAGTGTAGTAATAAAAATAAATTGTACAGATTACTTTTATGTACCTAAATAAAACTGGGAAAACATTTAGCACCTTATTGTTTTCTGTGTAAAAAAGGCAACTTTATTTAGTAAACATTTTGTATATCGAGTTCTTAAGTTTAAGTACTTAAGTTTTCGCGATAGTTACACAATAGAAATAAAACTATTTTCAGTAGTGACCATGTGACCTGTAAAAAGCCCGTAACATTAGCTTGTTTGAAAAACAATTATACACGACATAGATCCGAAAAAAAAAGTTTAAAAGTTAACTTTCCTGTTAAGCCACGGGCCGAGGGGAAGCCGCCTTTACATGTGAAAATTAGGTACCTTATTTTTCTTTAAATTATTATTAATTTATTTTTTGAAAAAGGCACCTTGATGAATGAACTGCAATACTAAAACTCCCGATGTGTCTCTAAGTATTATTATTCTTGTATATTTTTCTCTAAGTATTATACTTGTTACATTTATGTTGTCATTTGTTGTTTTGTATGTTATTGTTTATTTACAGGCATATACAACTACCAAGTAATAAACGTCGGCGGTAAAACTACTCTCATACTCTACAACAGGTATACATTCTCAAAGAGCGGTCGTCATAACTACAGATATTGTTCGAAAAAGAAGGTACTTCAATGTCCAGCTAGACTGAAGCTTGATGACTATGGACAGCTGGTGTATGGTGACACTAATCATAATCACCCACCTCCAAGATTGATTAGAGGAAGCAATGGTGTTTATTTTAAAAACTAGGTTGTGTTAATCTTCCTTTTTGTCTATGTTGTTTTGTGGTAATTACCTCAAAAACATGTAATGACACATGCGAATTGCATAGCATCCAACAGTTTATTTTGTATCCTCCATTTGCATGACATATCAAGCGGGGTCTGACCTTAAGGACGCCTTCGAATTAGGCGCTTGTAGAAACTCTGCAGTGGCGCGACTGTGGCGCGGCAGTTGTGTGTCTGTAGCGCGTCAGTAATTTTTTTATTCACTAATTGTGACTGCAAAAGTAGCACGCGCGTGGCGCCACTGCAGCACTACTATAAGCGTCTAACTTGAAGGCGTCACTTTCGATAGATTGGAGTGAATTCGGGGCACAACGGGTAATTTTGCGCAAAAATAAAACGTTTTGTTCCAATTTGATTGTTGGAGTATCCTTTAGGATGTGCTTTTTGAAATTATACTCTTGGTAAATAGAGTGAAATAAAAAGGTGCGCCCATATTGTGGCTGGTGATCGACAAATAACAAAGTATTTTGAAAATTTTCTTATTCGTACGTATGATCTCTATAGTTGAAATGCGGTCGGATCGTTTGTTACATCCTTTAAGTAGGATTTATTGTTTATTTATGTAATATGCTGTAAATAATATTTTTTTTTACCTTAATAATTCTTATTAATTGGGTTAAAATAAAATGAAAATGAAATATTTATTTGTTTGTCTTAACTTTTACGTTTCAAGATTGAAGTTTATTTCCCAGAATATTAATTAATACTTTACTACTGCAGTGTCATTATGCCAATGGCTAGATAGCATTTAATAGAATGTAATATCGGGAACGAAAATCCAAGAAAAAAAACTGTAACGCCGGTAAAAGGAAACTTTAATATCTATGGCAATAATGACGTACAAGAAGTCATTGACATGACATCAACTCGGACGGTGCGCCTCATCACCAGCCGTCATCGTGATGACGACCTCTGTGGTTGAGTGACAGGCTTTCATGGTGTCGTCATCTCTGAGGTCCCGGGTTCGATCCCCAGCCAGGTCAATATAGAAAACTAACTTTTCTATATTGTCTCTGGTCTAAGTGTGGTACCGTCGTTGTTCCCGATTTCTATAACACAAGTGCTTTATTTACTGACTTTGGGATTAGAACAACGTGCGTGATGATGTCTAATATTTTTTATTTATTATTATCGGGAATTCGGCGTGCGCTGGCTTATTGCGAGTTGTGGAATTAACAGATTTTGCATCGACTAGTTTAGTCGATCTTTGTTTTAAAGATGTGTAATGGTACATAACAAAGCTGAACGGTTTAAGCAAATTGTACCTACAGTAAAAACAACAAATGTATAGCTCAATGACTGGATTTGGTTTGGCTAGCCAGTCTCATCGCATCCTGTATACAGCTGCTTAACTATCCGTGATAGTAGAAATGCACATCCTTCATGTCGGAAAAGCTTTCTGATTCTTGTGTTCCGTGCTAAATTTAATAATAATAATAATAAATTTAGTCATGTCTATTTCAGATTGTAGGATTATTTCTGGTTCTAAATCACTTTTCTATTACAGGGTCTTACAAAATAGTATACACGACCCGTGGGAATCCTTTAGTACTGTACAACGACCACACTTTCTCGAAACGTGGATCGTCGAACGTCACTCTGTATTGTTCCAGAAAAGACAGTGGGAACTGTAGAGCCAAGTTGAAACTGAACGATAAACGAAAAATTGTATACGCGGAAACTGAACACACTCATCCCCCACCAAATATAATGTTAACGGAAACTGGCCAATACGTTAAATTTTAACTTTTTAATTTAATAAAATACTATTTCGTGTTTTTATTTGCCACAGCAGTCTTTATTTGTTATTCATCTTTGGATAGGTAGACCTACTTTATTGCTTTCTACAGTTTGTGTCAACGAATAGCCGATTAGTCCGGTATTGCGTGCCAGTTGAGATGTAACTCAGATCTCTAGAGACCACCTTAACTGACCAAAGACCTTACACTTGATTGATAGTCCAGTATTAGCTGCGTGTCGGTTGAGATGTCACTCACATCTCTAGAGACCACCTTAACTGACCAAAGTCCTTACACTTGATTGATGAGGGGTTAATAACAATTTTTAACAGTGCTTAAGTGTTGAGTGGTGTTATTATTAAGTAGGAATTCGGACAACAATGTAATCGCAATCGTAGTAATGGTTCCTGTGTAGTCTATTGATATTTATTAATAAAAACGTTTAAGTAAAATCTTTATATCGACCCTGTACTTCAGATATATTTATTGCTACATCTTATACCCAAGAGACATTATCTCACAGTACAAAGCCGACTAGTTATTTGGTCTGACGTCTACCAGTACCGACGTCATTTTAATTCAGAACTAAACCTGTTCCGCTACGATGCAACCTACAAGTCGAGCACAGTACATACCACTACATAGGGTAAAATATTTAATAATGACTTTTTTTTTTATTTCAGAACCTTATAAGATTATAGACATGACGGCAGGAAAACCTTTGGTGATATACAACGGCCACGCTTTCTCCAAGCGTGGTTCTTCCAACGCGTTCTTATTCTGTTCTAATAAAGATAACGTATATTGTCCAGCAATGTTGGTGCTAAATGATGAGGGAACTATAGTGTTTTCCTGTACCGACCACAATCATCCTCCACCAATTACTGTATTGACAAAATGTGGTAAGCATTTTAAAGTTATATATGTATATATTAAAATTATAATGAAGAGCGATGACTTCTCAGTTGAGAGGCCAACGGTTCGAATTTGTGTGGCGGCATGTGCTTCTTTCTTTAATTTCAAGTTGCATTAGCGATGCGCCATTACGACTATTCCTGTTATTCGAATGACAAATTAGTAACCTACTAATTTTCGTATTCGAATGATCTGAATGATCATTCATTCCGAATCCATAGATTTCATAGAGTAAAACGATACTCGTAATCACCTAGCCGTCTCTGACATATGGTAAACAGTGTAAATGTGACGGGGACAGCGATATTTTGATATAGACGGAGTAGATCCGACGTAATAATCATTCGACTCGTGCACCCATCTGAATGGTAGGGGCATTCGGCCGTTCGGTGCTTGGATTCGACTTAGATGATTGATTTGCCCATTCGAATGATTAGTATTAATAACATTCAAAGTCGCACATCGCTAAGTTGCATCCAATTCTGTTTTTTTTTGTGTGTACGTTTAGTAGCAACACCTTTCGTTTAACGGTTTGGGCCAGCGTGGCGGAATATGACCTCTCCTTAGAGGAGATCGTGCTCATCAGGAGAAAGTATAATGGGTTAGTTATACAACTATTACTCAATAATAAAACCATATTAATTAATAATAAAACTTGATGTGCCAAACAACCATATTAATTACCTCGTCACGAACTTTTTTTTATAAAAAAATTAGTGCGCAAATGCGCACATGGTGAAATCACCTCCATCTTAAGTGATGGAAAGTGAGGATGGACCATGCACACCTAAATAATGCTTATTCACTCTCGCCTTGAAAAGGTTCAATTTACAGCGGGAATAAGTCTGCAGGCAGGGAATTTCACTCCTTAGCCGTTAGCCATATAAACGTGAGAGCATAATGCATGGGGTGGAACTCAAGGCTACGTTTGGCCCCCCCAGTGATGGCAAGGAAAGGTGGCATTAAATACTTGGGAATCGATCCTGGGACCCTCATCCTGAGCCCACAGAGCCACAAACCGTTGTGTTGGATCAACAGAATATTGAATATTATTTTGATTCTCAATACACTATAATAGGGAATTTATTTAATGCGTATTTTATTATTAACTTGTTAAAAATAGCACTTAATTAGCAATTTTTGTTGTTTCATACAAACCGATATACATATAATTGAGATTTGTTTAGGAGACAAACAAGTTTGTAGCGATGTCTAATTGTGACTTACATGGTTTTTAATTATGAAACAGCCACACGCTTGACCTAATGTTAAGCGCCGATGGTACGCGTTTGTCTAAAAAATCCCTATTCACTAAAACCTTGTTTGATTATTTATTTATTTGCATCTTTATTTAAAGCATCAGTACGTGTAATACTAATTTAAGTATGTATGCAATAACGTTGTTATAGTATCCGCTTCTACAAGTAATAGCGTATTGGTATTTGGCTCGCCTACGCTACACCACGTGCCTCCGTGTTGACGGTCGAAAACTGACTGACCCGTCACACCCGTACCATGTGATGTGTGCGCTCAAGACAAATCATTAACAATCCACATTCACTACAGTTGCAATCTTTTGTTTCAGAGTACGAAATTATAACTATTAAAAACAAAAATGTACTCCTGTACAAAAATTTCACGTATTCCAAAAGCGGTCCGACGTTCCAACATTACTATTGTTCGAAGAAGCTTACACTAAAGTGCAAAGCGAAGGTGAAGTTGGATAAGGAAGGAAGAATTGAGTTAGTTGATGATATACACAATCATCAACCACCGAAGTTCCATAGGAGCCTTGATGGAAAATATCATCTTATTTAAGTAGATTTAATAGCGTCCGCGTCTTCCGTGCGCGTCGTACCTACTTCTTTTTCACTAAATCTCACTTGCCAAATTTTCTTAGACGTATTAATAAAATCGAAGTGTAGTAAGCATAATATATGTATATATAAAAATAAACGATAAACCATATGTATAAAACCGCATTAAAATTTATTTCAATTGTATCTGTGTCATTACTGAACTGTAACATTAATTTTAGGAGTAGTAGAGCTCCTTGCGAAAGAGTTCGTCCAGGGAAACACTGCCATATTATCTAAGTCTGCCGCCAAGCAGTAATATGAGCATTACTGCGGTCCGGTTTTGAAGGGTAGGCGTGCTGGCGAAATGGCAGGCACATGTGACATGTCAACTTATGTCACAGGGTGACGGCACAGTGGCAGTGCCCCTCCGATCTTTGCGTTTTAAAGCTCTGAGTTGCGCTGCAACGTTTATGGACAAGCGTGTTGCTTATCACCATTAAAAAAAAATTACGAACTATTAACCTTTATTTTTTATATTTTATTAATTTAGGATAACCAACAAGTAATACTTTTTTAATGTACAATTCAAATGGAGTTGTGCTGTAATATTGCCTCAACATCCAACAGTTAGCTGCCTACGTGGCGAACGGTTACCATGCTGAACCATAGCATAGCATGTTGCCAAGTCCTGGCTTCAATTCCCAGTCCGGGAGAAATATATGTATGGCCTACATTTATCTCGCTCGTGAGTTTGGGTGTAATTTGTGGTTTTCTATGTGTGGTCCATGGCACCTGACAAATGTTTTCCCTACTTAATACTAATAATAACGTGATGTATCTTTCTTTACAGAATACGAAGTGATAACTATAAAAAACAGGCAAGTACTCTTGTACAAAGGATTTACGTATTCCAAATATGGAGCGACGTTTCGATATTGCTATTGTTCGAGGAAAGTATCTGCACAGTGCAAAGCGAAAATGAGATTGGACAGGGAAGGAAGGATTGAATTCGTCGATAACAATCACAGTCACACGCCACCGGTCTTGCATAGAACTTACGATGGGATGTATCATTTAATAGACATAAGACATAAATAACGAAATATACAAACAAACAAACTCTTTTGAATCAAAATGTATTTACCGTCAATATTTATACAGCCAACCTTTACAAAACATTTCTCATAATTTTAAGAATTAATAACTAAATAAATTGGACATAGTTATGCAAACTAGAACCAACCTACAAAATGTCACTTTCGAAATTATGTCGAACTTTCGAGATAATTACATTTTTGTAAAAACAGTGTGAAGAAATAAATAGGTAAGTTATTTGAGACAAACAATGTGAGTTATGTGTAGCATTGAGAATGATATAGGGAAACTATTATATTATATAGCAATAAACAGAAAACATTATGTATCTTTTTATTTAGTTAACGAGAACCATGTTCTAGTTTTCGTAATGAAAACGCTAAAGATCTACAGTACTTCAGTACATGTGACATTGATCCAATTAGCATAATTTAAAAAATACATTATGTGAAGTCAACCAGTATGGTTCTTTTTAGCTGTTAAAAAGTTACTTATTTTGGGTTGGTACCCTGAAGGACTTTTATTTTCTCCGTTTTGCCTTGGTATATTGCCAGAATCTTTTGTGAGCGGGTAAAGGACACGTCTGGTGTTCTACCTAAATACATAACTCAATTTCACTCGACGTGTGGGTTGGTTCTTGTTTCTATAACTATGTCCAATTAGTATAGATGGAGTTAACGCAGCTTTTGTAACATTATAAAGAAAAGAAGCCACAATAGATTTCAAATATTAAATCGTATATAAGTGACGGTCCATTGTTATTTGACTTAAAGCTATTGCTCTTTATGACCTGTTTATGAGCATTAGTAAACCTTTCTCTTAATAATTTTAGAATGAATGTAGAAGTAGTTACTAAACACAGCTGTGACGAAGGGTGCACATTTGAAAAATATACGCAGTAAATACTGCAATGTATTTACTGTTCAATAGTTAGATATTACTAATAAATAAATTTCTTGTACAAATCGATAAGAATCGTGTTTTAGGGACCCTACGCCACTTGTAGAAGGATACGCATGCCCTGTAACTTGTGAAAAGAAATGTAACCAAATTTGTGTCGAAAGTGAATATAATTTTCAATTGTATCTGTTTAACTGTGTATTATTATTATATTCGTAGCTTGTACACATAATTTATTTCTAAAATTTTTTTCTAAGTTATACTAATTATTTATTGTGCCCACCAGACTCAAGTAGTTTATATAAGTAGGGCCATCAATCGTTCAACAGTGGTGGTTGTCTTTGGAAGAACAAATCAAAAATGAACGATCTTTTTGACCTTGGATAGTTTGTACAATAAAATATGTGGTAGGGATAAAATAACATTTATATGGTGTTAGTTGATTGGTGCAAAATAGAACCTCCGACCTACGTAATGTGCCCTTGACGAGCGTTTTGTTACTGCTTCGCAAATTAGATTCAATTATTTTAGAATCAATAATAGACAACCAACAAATCATACACATACATACAATTATGATTATACCATTCAAATAGAGTAGTGCCAAAGCGTTGACTCAATTAAACGTTGCCACAACATGCAACACAGTTAATTATTTATATACATAGTATGAACAGTTATTAGCACTTTTCATTTTTATAACATATAGTGCAATATGTATTTTAAATACGAAATATACAAAGATATGATAAACTTTACAAATAAGAAGAAAATAAAATGTTAACAAACGTAAATAAAAATTACGTGTGCACCTACAATTATACCTACTGCATTACAAATAAGTTTATAAATAATTTTATTGCAACTTCATAGTTGCAATAAAATTATTTTACATTAACACATATTGTCTTTAGGATACGAAATAATAACTACGAAAGCAGAGTACTTGTAGTCTTATAAAACATTCACATATTCAAATATTTCGTCTTCGAGTGATTTAGTTACTCATTTTTATATAGCTTCTTTTTTAATTAAAATGGTGATTAGCGACATATTATGTTTTTAGGTTTTCATTATTGTTACACATTGGAGATAAAACTGTCGGATTTAAATGGCAATTGTTAGCCAGCCGTGACCATAGGACCTGCAAAGGTCACGAAACGTTGATTTGTTTGAAAAAACATACGCGATTTAGATCAGAAAAAATAGTTGCATTTCCAACAAACATATGTTTACTATATGTAGCACTACACCTTTATCTTCGTCCTAGAACTTTACGTAGAAATCATACACAGATATTTACTTTCAAGGTGACGAAATATGGTTGAATGCTTCAACACTGCTATTTAAAAACGGACCAAAGCTACTCAACGGACCTCAACGGACCAAAGCAGGGAGAATACTCAACGGACCAAAACAGGGATGAGGTTCGGTAAGGAAGGGAGTAATTAATAAGTTTGTGGATAATACTCATGATCATCCACCACCGACATTACATAGAAGACTTAATGGTAAATGTCTTGTATAAATATACTTACTTACTCCGCTGGCTCAGCGACCCAAAATGTGTCTTGCTTCCGAAACGAGATTTCGCTGCTTACCTCGGTCTTGAGCTGTCTCCGCCAATTAATGGCTTATACTTCGCGTAAATCCTCTTCCATGGTGTCGCTCAAGTGATACCTGGAACGACCACCCGGTCTTCGTCCCGTAGGTCGATGCAAATAGCCTTAATTGACGTTCCGATTCTCTCCCATCCTGTATAATGACCGAGCCTGCGAAGTCTGGGCGCCTTGGTTTCGCGGATGATGTTTGACTGAGCCAAAATACCTGAGACGACCAACCGGTTTTCGTTCAATCGACGCAGATA